CCTTGAGAGGATTAACATTTAATTTTCCATGTAGGACGATAGACTAAAGAGTTTATAAAGACATAATTTAGTCGCTTAGCCTTGGTTTTATTTTTTCTTCGCTTTAAAGTTTATAAGTTATCCCTGGTTTTGTATCTACTATATTAAGTACCTACTCAGAGATTTTAAACAATATATATAATAAAAACATTCTATTAATAACAATACAAATATTTTTATTACCGTTTTCCGACTCTTTACGCTTAAAAAGTCAAGTTCAGGACACTTTATTTAGCCAATTAAGCCAAAATAATAACACGAATTTGTTATTAATTTATCATAATGATAAATGGTTGAGAACTTTGGCTTTGAGGTTATATCTCGAGTGCAAGTGATAAGAAGATAATGAGGCGAAATAGTGAACCAGTATTGGGTAATTCAGAACACATACGGGTACCTAGAAGATCAAATACTTTAGTACATAGACAATCTAAATCATTCGGAGTTAACAACATCAGATGGGAATTACTAACTATGCCGCGTTTATCTGAAGGTAAATAAATATATACTTCATTCATGAGCCTAATATTGGTGCAATTCGATTTATTTAAGTTAGTGATACAATACAGAAATCTATCTTTTTCGCGTTCATTCATATTGATAGTCAAACACAATTTAATATTATCAATAAAAAATGGAGAACTATCTTACCCATCCTCAATCGATAGGATATTTTTACAAGAACAGGGAATAAAAAAATACCAAATTTACGGGTATGTCCATCCTCTGGGAAAATCACTCATAACGATCCCGTTTGGAAAAAATAGTATTCCTGAGTTAGAACAAACGCTATCAAAAATGTTACCCTTGTATTGCATTTATTTCTGTTTGAAATTAAGGAATCAAGAAGTCAATGTCCCTAGTGGGATACGATCTTGTATTTATACATCCCGTGGCTGTGTATTTATACATCCTAAAATTATCATTGACCATATATATATATACGGCGCTAGTGTTATTTTTTATTCTTTTAGAAAGATTCTATCTTTCATTGATGTTCGACCTCAAAGCCATTATACCTCATGTATTGTTACACTGCAGTGTTTTCGTTAATGTCTTTTAATAGCTTAAGTATGAATCCACCAAGGGAACTATAATATGAATTTCAAAGTGCAAAAACCTGCAGATCTTTCCAACGTTGGGCTTAAATTTTAGACGAAAAAAGTATATGTAAAAATGTGCGTGGTATGTAGATGCAGGTTAACGGATTTTTAAATAAAGACACGACGGATGTTTGTTTAATTTTCACGAAAACGGGTTAAATGTATATACATTAAAAATTTATTTTTGAAAAATAAAGGTTACTGTTTTTGTAAGCAATGAATAATAATTTCAAATAGTTTATATTGGAGAATACGAATACTTTACTAAACCAATCGTCGGCCTATAAACGGCATATTGCATATGCTGATTATAAAAAGACATAAGTAAAGAAACAATAATGATAATACCCTTGATAATATAAAACTATTGCAATTGTTTTCTTATTGTAAAACATTTATACATTCCCCATTTCCATTCTCAATTTTATAACAAACCAAAGCCACAGTGCTGCATATTTCTTCATGGTTCTTCATGTTCACTTGAAAGCCAAATAAATCTGTTTTCTGTATCTAGATTTAATATATTAATGCATATTTTGCAGATTTTAACATAATCTGTCGTTCTTCCATTGAAAGAACAAAATTTACAAATAAATTCTTTTATCTTTGCCAACCTTTTTATAACGACCCAGCGAATCATTTCACAAAAGTTCTTACGAGTAAGAAGACTCGTAAGTCCTGAACATTTCAGTATAACTCACGATCAATTTTAGTCGTCAGATTTTTTTGAGAAAATAGCCCCTGCTCAGTAGCTAATTTATAAGCACTAATTCAGTAATTTTGTACAACAAACACTTTTATGTAATTGTAAAAAATGACAGCTTAGTTTTGGTTATTTCACATTGATGATAAAATATGGTTGATTTGAACTAATACATGTTTCTAGTTTAATACCCCCTGGATTGAAAACCTGCATTTTTCAACGTTTATCTCCCCTGGCAAAATCACATATTGTATGCAATTTATGAAAACGGGCTTGTGTTAAATAACAAATCTGTAAGAACATTAAATTTTTTTTTAAAATATGCATTTCCAAAAATAGTAATATAATTTCGGGTTTGTCCTATTATATGCAAATTTAAGAAATCTATGATATGAATTTGTTAAAAAGATTAGAAATGTTCACCCCTATAAAAATAAGGAGGTGTGGTATGATTGTTAAGTATTACTAAATTATAGGTTTACAGTGTTTATATAACTTATTTTTACAAACGCTATCCTGTAGAAAATGTACATTACTTTGCTAATTGTATGTTTAGTGGCTACTATATCATAACTGAAGGAAGACGGTGAATTGCTGTAAGACTACTGTGTAATATTTGTCGAACATTTCCTTTTTCTTCAGTCCCTACTGAAACTATCTTCCCAAACGACTTCCTCTTACTTCAGTCCCTACTAGTCTTGTAGATTCTTAATCATCTTGTTCGAACTGTATCTAAAGAAAAAAGAAATACATTAGTTATATTGACTAATCTTCCTTAGCTTACTTAAAACAAAGAATAAACCATGTGATGAAAACATGATCAAAGATTTGCAATGATTTGATAACGTACATTTACAATTACATAAATGAAAATATTACTAACAGTTAAATAGACTTTACACACATGAGATGCTGTTCACGATTATATTTAAATGATTATTTTTATGACGTTAAGCTTCCTGCTGACACATATTTAACATAGAATGAGCAAGGACATATAAATTATCAATCGGTTCAAGTGTAAGTTGGCTCGTGGATAGTTTTATTATGAAAGTAATATCGATTCAAAATAATACTTTCATGGTTTTATATATCTTTCTCGATACAAGTGAACCCTTTCAATATTAACAATCTATTATTTTTAAAATATTATTATGTTTATAAATTCAGATAAATGACATTTTTTATGTCTCAATATATTTTAAGTTTTATTTGAATAATGTAAACAGCAAACAATTGATTTGTTTTCGTTAACACTACTGTCTATCAATTTCTTAAAAGATACACATCAATGATTTATAGTGACGAGGCTTTTACCACAAGCAAAACCATACGGATTATAATTGTACGCAGCCACCCATTTTCAACAATAAAAATAAACAATCTTTTCGCAGTAAAACGATAATTTCAAATTTTCACTATTTTCCCAATCATTGTGTATTTCTACTTTAAACCAGATATGTGTTACAATTTCAAATCTAAAGGATTAAACTCGTTTGAACTTGGTCAGATACAAAAGATTTTAATAAGCTAATCTTTCCGTCTATTGTGGTCTATAATTTTAAGTGCGATGTAAAATTAAACTGTAATGAAGTTGAAATGACCTCTTTCACTGTTATACCCTGCTAATGGACGAACCTCTCGTAGCTGTTTATAACCAAGAGAGCCTCGGGTAAGAAATTAATCATTCAAAACATAAAATCTGCAGATATGTGATCGCTTTATGATTTGATTTCCTTTGTATAGACAGTGGTGACACGTAATACACTCTTTCTAACATGCAAAAATAATTGGATTATTAAGTTATATTTCATACTTCTTATTAGATAAATTATGACATGTTTTATAAACTGTTTCATAATTGACCGTATACGTAAAGCAACGGAGATGGGACAAAAACTATATGGTAAGACTTTTTGAAAAGTATTAAGAATATAAAATATCAAAAGTTATTTGTGCGTGTACAATTGTAATAATTTTTTTAACACTTTGGCAAAATTGATACATTTCATTTTTTTACTACTCTCTCCAATTACAGGATTTATAAAATCCTTCTTAAAAAAAGTTATGTTAACGCGATATTAATATAAAACCGGAAAATAAATAACTGCTTAATTGTTAAAAAGATTAGCCTACAACCTATTATATACTCATATGCATATAACAATTGAAAGAAATGTATTGTCTCCTGTGTAATACTGGATACAAGTTCTGAGATAAATCTTCTAGCAAAAAATGATGTAGACCATTTGGTCATTGTGTATTATTTTGCACCCACCGATACATGCTAGTATGTGTCAATTTCTTTTCACAACGTGCAATTTACATGTAAGATGTGTGAAAGAAACAGAAAAGTAAATTGAATGGTCTCCCTTAGCCTACTTTTTCCTGGAATAAAAGTTCCTTACGGTTTATAATATTAGTTCTAAATGGAAAAAAAAATATTCTGGAATATTGTTTCTGCTATAAGAAATATCACACTATTTGTTCCTGACGGAATGAAGCGAATATAGTGTTTGCTAAAACAGGTACAGATATTGTAACATTTTTTTTCGAGTTTCTAGAGGAACTTCTTTTAGGAGGAACAAATATACGTTGAAAACGTACACAAAACTGAACTAGTGTTGGACTGACTAGACAAGAACTTTGTTATCAATGCACTTATTTACTACATGCTTTCTTTTATGGTATGAAGTACAGTTATCATAATGCATTTTTCTTGTTTAATTGATAACATTTTAAAATCAAAACAACCTTTACTCAAAATAATTAAAGATGAATAGATCTGGTTCGTGGTATCACAGTCGGGTTGAATGTGCGTTTGAAGTGTATCTTTTAAATACACATCGTAAATCATTACTTTGGTCGTTTTAATTGAAACGACGCTTTTAATTATCGAAATACATTTCAGTACAAACATACACTTGAAGGAAAGGACAGTGAACCCCACATTATAGAATAAATATATTAGCTGTCACACAAAGTTCAAATTTTATCAACTTTTATTTGCATGTTAACACCAGTTAAATGAAACAATGACCGTCAGTTAAGATACGTTTAAAATCAATGAGACATAATCATTTAGTACTACAATTTATTTTGATTATAGTTGTTTGCTAATTTTATAGTAATGAAACCTTATCATCTCTTTACAGAGAAAGACAAACACAAACAGTCAGACGTTTCAAATCCTGCATATGAGGACGAAACAATTGAAACGGATAGACCACCACCTGTTCCTCCACGAAAAAGAGTGTCAGATGTTGATCCAAAGTTAAAACGCCATTCCGCACCACCTTCGCCTTCGTGGAATACACAACAGGTATATCCTGTAAACGGTGGTTCTTCACGAGCACCTTCTAAACGCAAACGGGACAGTTTTCAAAAGAAAAAGTACGAATATACACGGAGAACAAGAGCGCACAGTTCTTCTTCATCGTGTTGCTCAATTGAGGATTGCAATGACAATCAACATACGTTTGATGAAGAAACTAGTAGCAGATCAGGTTCACGGACACCAGATCCGGAACATTATAATAGGGATATATTACTAAAATCTGCCGAATTGTTTGCGCAACCAATGCAAAAAATGACACCGTCAAAACCATCACTTAAATATTCACCTAGTTCATTATCATGGCCGGAAATGGAAAGTGCAAATCATTTAGAATCAATTGACAAACTACGGAGTCTAGATATGATATTCAAAAACAGACGGTCACCAACTTCACCGTTGGACAACCGAAAAATGGAATTTACTATAGGGCATAAACCAATACAATCAAATTCAGTTGATTCTAGTCCTGCTCAAATTCAACGGGACAAGACAAAACTATTGAGACAGCGGCCACATTCGTTTGGCCTTTACGGACAACAGAGTCATGATGGAAATATGTTGCTAGATTTACGAAATGCTTTAAAACAACAAAAGAAATCAGAATACATTAAAACAAAACGAAAACCGCTAATGGTGCATGAAGATCCTGGTTCGGTGTCTGATCTTGAATGTATTATGGAAAATACCAAAGATCGCAAGTAAGTCATTTACAAGATTAATTCAATACATGATTACATTGCTAATTGATTGGTTAAGCCAGGAAAGCTTATAAGCAAATGATTTTCACGAGTTCACAGTAAACTGAAAGACAGTAAGAGAGGTCAAGCAGTATTAAATTTGTTTTAAATTTGAAACTTAAAAGTAGTATAGAAATGCCAGTTCAAATTTCCATATGTCACGGTAAATTGAGAGCATGGAAGTTAAATCAGTCAGAAACACAACACCTCCAAAGGAAGTGCGACGGGGTAAGCATTGTCTGCTTTGTAGGAATAATACGTCACACGATTCAAAAGTCTTATATACAGCAAATGGAATTAAAAACCAAATTAAAAGACCAATTATTTTAGTGTATACTAGACTTGGAAGTCGTATGGACATGTGAATTAGTTAGATTTGCGATTTGGCAAAACCTACTGTCAAGAGAGGCGATACGTATAAGATTATTTATATATTATGCTAAATATACATAGATCTGTTTGAAGAAAAAACAATCTAATTATAAAATGAACTCATAATTAAATGTATTTCAAGCAAGCAACAAACTCACGTTCCCAATTTATAAGCTTCAGCAACCTTCATAATCACATGTATTGTGATTCTAAAGCAAGTATCTTTTAGTGTGATAATTGTAAGTGTTAAAAGTAGCATGAACCCAATCAAAAGCAAATACATGTGCATGAACACAATATTTTAATGATGATCACTCTTTGATATCAATCTCAATTGAACCCTTTCGAAATTGAAAACTAAGTTAAGACACATTTTCGGTTTCCACATGGTTTGATTTAGGTATACATGGTTCGTCTTGAAATTCTGTAGCATAAATTATAGTAAATGGGTCAATTTGGATCGATATATTTGGATTTGAAAAACCTTCAATAACATGGCGGCGATAGAAATTCTTTCCGTCTTATTATGTTACTTTATTTTTGTCGAGCCTGCGACTTTTGTCGCAGAAAGCTCGACATAGGGATAGTGATCCTGCGGCGGCGGCGGCGTTAGCTAACTTCTTAAAAGCTTTATATTTTAGAAGGTGGAACACCTGGATGCTTCATACTTTGTATATAGATGCCTTATGTTATGAAGTTTCCGTCTGTCACATGTCCATTATCCTTGGCCTCATTTTCATGGTTCAGTGACTACTTGAAAAAAAAAGTAAATATTTTTTGTAATGTTAATTTCTCTCTTATTATGAGTAATAGGATAACTATTTATTTGGTATGTACGTACCTTGCAAGGTCCCTCGTGCTCGTCAGATAGTTTTCACTTGACCTCGACCTCATTTCATGGATCAGTGAACAAAGTTAAGTTTTGGTGGTCAAGTCCATATCTCAGATACTATAAGCAATAGGTCTTCTATATTTGGTGTATGGAAGGATTGTAAGGTGTACATGTCCAACTGGCTGGTGTCGTCTGACCTTGACCTCATTTTCATGGTTCAGTGGTCATAGTTAAGTTTTTGTGTTTTGGTCTGTTTTTCTTATACTGTATGCAATAGGTCTACTATGTTTGGTGTATGGAATAATTGTAAGGTGTACATGTCCAACTGGCAGCTGTCATCTGACCTTGACCTCATTTTCATGGTTCAGTGGTTAAAGTTAAGTTTATGTGTTTTGGTCTGTTTTTCTTATATTGTATGCAATAGGTCAACTATATTTGTAGTATGAAAATATTTTATAATGTACATGTCAGCCTGGCATGTTTAATTTGACCCTGACCTCATTTTTACGGTTCATTGCTCAATGTTAAGTTTTTGTTTTTTGTCTATTTTTCTAATACTATAAGCAAAAGGTCGACTATATTTGGTATGGAATGATTGTAAGGTGTTTATGTCTGTCTGGCGATTATCATCTGACCTTGGCCTCATTTTCTTGATTCATTGATCAATGCTAAGATTTTCTGGTTAAGTTTGTTTCTTAGATGTGCAAAAGTTCAACTATATTTCAAAAACATATTTGGTGTAAGGAATGATTGCAAGGTGTATATGTATTTCAAATTTGGTTTATCAGATCTTGACCTCATTTTCTTAGATCATGTCAAGTTTATGTGATAGTTGTAGTAAAGCTTTATATTTAGGACTATCAGCATAATATCAATGGTTAGGAAAGAAGGCGAGACATTTCAGCGTGTGCACCCTTTTGTTTATTTTTTTGTTAAACATCACAAAGGAGCCTGCCTCGTATTAGTAACACATGAAGTTATACTTTTCTTTAGAAACTAAGACATGACGCCAGCCATCAAAAATGGAATCTGCACACTCTTCCAGTACAAATTTAAACGTGCGTTCATTTATATTTTGGTTCAGTGCGGGAATTATAATTCTAGACACTTGATCCATCATTTGGTACTTATGCATAATATTCATAACAATGAGGGCGGCTTGTTGATTAATGTGGAAGTCAACCTTGTTTGAAAAACAAGAAACCACTGCAATACATAAGTATGGTTAATAAGAATTATCAAGAAAAACCTACCCCGGTTGATGCTTTATCATTTGTTAAGAATATTATCAAAGTATTTTCCTATCAAGTGCGTCGTGATCTGTAGTTTTAAGTTGCAACGAAATAGTGTTTCGGTTAAGTGACTTGCTGAATTTTTTGCTTAAACGTGTTCAAAAGATCGTGGCTTCCAATACTGCAGTAAAATACAGAAACCAATATTGGAGTGTAGTACGGCATGATTTTATATCAGCAGGTTGAGTACATTAATCTTGCGTTTAGTAACTTAAAACATTTGATTTTTTTTGATACGGTGTTAAAACATATTTTTACGTTTGTACTTGTATTTTTGTTACCTACACCGTTATTCAAGAGTTGAGAGCTTTAAATTTCAAGTACTGATTTTTTTATGACTCTATTATGTACCTTTTGTTAGTCAGCTGATCGAGGTTAAAAAGGGGTAGGGTAAAGATCTCAAACCTGGCACGTATTCATTAGCCTGTCTTATCATTAGTCAAGAACCACATCAGTGGTTGTCTTCTGTTACTTCTTAATGTTTTTGGTATTTAGCGATAGGGATGTTGATGGTAGATCTGTGATAGTTTCTGTTAAATCAATATCTTTCATATTTTAATCTAACTCGGGACGACTTTGAGCTGAAAATACTTGACTATTACTGAAGACTATTTCACCGCTGGAAGTCCTTTGGTTACTCGTGTCTTTGGGTTGCTGTCTCATTCTTGAATGATTCATCTCCTTTGGTTCATATCAAATGGCAAATTATTAAAGTAGAATAAAAAAATGAAAATCTATTATAGTTATAATGGACTTTATGGTTGACTCTTTATGTAAAACGGGTCTCACACGGGGCCAGTTTACAAATATTGGGCTCGACGGCTATAGACGTACACCAACAAGTGATGACGAATGCTAACATTTTAGGCGAACCTAGGTAACTAATCCTAACCATTACCCTAGATTCGATTATTTTCTACTTTTTGGTTTCCATCGTCAAAAGAGCTTTTGACGTCATCATTATAAAAAAACAAGCATAGAACAAATCAATATGATGCGGTAGACAAGAATTAACAGCAGTATAACAAAAATAGTTGTCATCATTTTAAAAATAACATAATGTCACATCATTTCCTTTGATAAAAATACTAATCCGTTATTTGTAGAACTGTAGTCAGATGCAGGCTCAAATATCATTAATTACTCGCTCTTTTGTAAGGTTTTAGTAGGAAGACGATATTTCATACTTAATCGTCTAAGTTTCTTATTTATAGCTTCAATTCACGAGGTTATTTCTTGAGCATTCAGAAGTTTTTCAATAACACAAAATGATTTAGAAGCGTAAAGTTCCTTCCAAAGACTTACGAAGCCATGGGAAATTGTAAAAATTTTTATTTATATGGCTTGTTATGCAGTGTGATGTTTTGCAAACAATTCATACTGTCATGAAATAAATAAATGTGTTATGACAACATGTACAGCTTAATGTTTCATTGGAAGTTCTTCAATTCTAAAAAGGAGATAGCCAATGAGACACCTATTCACCACAGACCCAAGGAGTTAAGATTAAAATAATTTCAGGTCACCATAAGGCCTTCAACGATAAGCAAAACCCATACCGCTTGTAAGATAAAAAAAAGTCGCTGGGATGTTTTCGGTTTTTTAAAAGTTTACAAAACACTGTCTATCAAATGCAGTCGCCATGAATTATGGAGTTCAAAGCACATTTCTAGATTGCCTTCAGTATGAACGCTCATGGCAAAAAAGCTTATTTCCATACTTGTATTTGTTTGGTTTCATGCAGTTTTTACGAGAGCTGCATCGAAAAAAGAAGGCGAACTTTAATTTATCCCTTCCGAACCTATTGGTATCACACTAGTTTTTATAGTTTTGATTGGAGTTCATACTGATCTGGCTCTTGTTTTCGATGCTGTTTATATATACTCATAACACTTTCTGTTTTGAGTTTTCGTCGTCTTAAATTGTTTTAATAAAATCAATTCTTTGTGTAATTTGGTCCACACGTCAATGCAGTCTCGCTATTAGAAACCAGTTGTAAGTGTGCTGTATGATTTTCATTATTTCTTATTCAAGGTATGCCAATAAATATATATATATATAAAAAGTCTAAATTGAAAACAACGTTCAAACCTATGATTGCGTTGGATAAAAACCGCAATTTTTATACGTGTGCATGTAAAACAAATTTCTTGGTAGAGGGGTCTAAATACAGCACAAACAACAATTTCCAAAAGATTAAAAAAAGTGAAAAAGTCTATTTTAACAAAACGCATTTGACTAACTGAGTGAAGCCTAGGTGGTCGTGTGGTCTAGCGCGTCGGATACAGTGCAGGCGATTTGGTGTCACGATATCTCAGTAGCATGAGTTCGAATCCCGGCGAGGGAAGAACAAAAAAATTTGCGAAAGCAAATTTACAGATCTAACATTGATGGGCTGATGTTTAGACGAGTTGTATATACAGAATGTACACAGCCATGCATCACCATCACTGCTGGTGATCCGA